TTTTAAAAAAAGAACACCCAATATGTTTCGTAAGAAACATTTATTTATCTGTCACCTTGAATTGAAAGTGTTAGGTAATTCACAGAGGTGAAGAGAAAACATACTGAGGATGCTGCACACGGGCCCCCGGGAGCTGACTGCTCACCTGTGCAAGGTGAATGACTCCCCCTCGAGAGCCATTGAGCAAAGCACTTCTTACAGGTCAGTAAATGGCCCTTGCAGGCCCCACAACAAACTAATTTGCATCACATGTTCCTCAAAATGAAAAGGATGCTCCAAATCAGGTGGAATCCCACCAAACCAAGCGCTGATCCTGACTTCTACAGCAGACATTAAGCAAAGGCGGACACTGTAATCCAGGAGGCTCTGGTGTGTGTTGGGCGATCGGTTACTTTTTACCATTCATGTGTGTTTGTGCTATCATTCTCCCATGATGTTTTCATATTCAAGTTATTCTAATTCATCACTGAGGCCCAGGGTTTCCCAAATCTTCCCCTTCCCCTGATTGGCTCTGCTCACTTCTCTCACCAACATACCTGGTTTTCTCTTGCCCCACGCCCCTGAGAATGACAGGACTAGGTTTACGGTGTCATCTTCTCTATTTGTTTGAAAATTATATGGGACAGAGATCCTTGAGGTACCAACTTTGGTGTCATTTTATACACCCCAGATTTGGTTTATTAAATACTAGCTGACAGTGTAATTAATCAGGTTATCATTTTCCACCTGGTGAAATTTCTGTGCTATAGGGAAAATGATAACAAATTCTAGTAACAAAATAGCCACAGATGCTTGTTGAGGTTAGATAAATGATATCAATTATATCACCCATTAAATATCAACACTTGAAAGTATGGCTTTCTAAAGACGGCATTCTTTAGAGAGTGAATTCTGTGTCATTTAAAAAAGTAACTCTTTTAAGTGACTTATCAACATATATACTTTATAATTACATAAAATTATATATACTTATGCAATATCAGTGAATAAATTAAACAGAATGTATTCGATCTATATAAAGAACACTAAGATCTTGTGAGAGATAGAAAACAAATGTGAAGTATAATAGTATTATTGATTAGAGTGATATTAAATCTACTTAAGTTAACCTATAAATCCAATCCCATCCTTATAAAACTAGCATCAGGACTTCTAGAGGGATGTCACAGTTTATCAATATTGCCTCAAAGAAAATAAATACAAAAATTAGGTAGAACAATTCTGTAAATTAAAAATGAGGGGAACTTGACGTTATAGGCATTAAAATACTATGATAATATAAATAAATGCATAGATCTGTCTAGACATAAAGTAAATGTGGAAATCTGCAACTATTTAAAGATGATAACTCAAACCATTGAGAAAAACATGGATTATTTAATAAATGGTTTGAGACAATGAAATACTTTCTTCCAAAAAAAGTATGCTATGTTACATATGATATCTACATAAGTCCCACATGAATAGAGTATAAATGTATTAAAAAAAAGAAAGTATTAAAGTACTAGAGAAAACAATGCCAAAGGGAAAATACTG